CCCCCCAAAAAATAACCCTCTGCATTTTGTCTCGCACCCAATCAAAAAAACACAACTGGGGAGCTGGTGGGGGGGAGGGAATTGGGGGATGGTGCCACCCAAGTATGTATATTTGAGGAACGGACCTCCCCTCCCCTCTCTGTCCAGGGAACGAGCCGGCCACCGGCACAGGGACTCTCCTTTTGCATCTGGAGGATGTGAATGACAACACGCCAGAACCGGATCCCCGAACGTTCGAAATCTGCAGCCGCAATCCAGAGCCCCAGATGTTAAGCATTGTGGACAAGGATATCGCGCCCAACACCAGCCCCTTCCTGGCAAAGCTGGAATTTGACTCTGGCGCCAACTGGACAGTTGAGACCCACCAAGGTAGGCAGAGAACAAGGGAGGCGCCTGGGAACACGGCCTCAACACAAAACCTGTTTCCCTCTTTCTCCTTTCCAAGATTTGCACCAGAGCAAATCAGAGGGAGATTCATTCATGACTTCATTGGGTTCCTTTAATTAGTGTTTTAGAGCATGGCTCTGTTCAGCTCTGACTCACCTTCTTTGGGGGGGGTGTCCTTTGCAGACAGTCTGACCCTTCAACTGGTCAAGCAGCTGGAGCCTGGGGAATACAACGTCGCCCTCAAGCTGACCGATGGCCAGGGGCTCTCTCATGTCACCACGGTCAAAGCCATTGTCTGCAACTGTGACGGGTCAGCCAAAAACTGTGAACGAAAGGCGTTTTTGCCAGCAGCAATAGGGACCCCCGCCATTCTGGGCATCCTTGGGGGCATCCTTGCCCTTCTGAGTGAGTACTGCGCTTCCTTGCCCCTTGTTTCTCCCGGGGAAGCTGGGCGGCTCCTCTTAAGGGCCCGCCTGCAAGACGCTGGGCTTCCCGGCGCCTGGGTGTGAGGCCCATCCCAGGCCTGGCCTGGCCAGTGGAGAAGGCCGGGGCCTGGATTTTGCTCCAGGTTGGGGAGAATTGCTCTCTCTCATTCCTGGCTGCTGGAAACATTTCCTTCCTCTGGGATTTTGGTGGGTAACTTTTTCCGCCTTGGTAACCCCGAGAGGAGAAGAGTCGGGGGGTTGTTTGGGCACCCATGAAGCTGGAGCTCAGCGTCAGAACGATCCGCTTGCCAGCGGTTCAGACCAATGGCCACCATGGAGCCCTGGTGGTATCCCGGCAGGAAGAGTATCCCTCTGGGCACTGAGGTCCTGGAAGGTGGCATCGAGGGTGGCGTCTCGGGTTGGGTCAGGAGCAGGTGGGCGGCCTCCGCTTCAGCCGGATGGGAGCCCCCTGGCTGACGGAGCCTTTCGCCCTGCCTTGCAGTCCTGCTGCTGCTGCTGCTGCTGTTCGTGCGGAGGAGAAGGCAGGTGAAGGAGCCGCTGCTTCTCCCCGAGGACGACACGAGGGACAACGTCTACTACTACGATGAAGAAGGCGGAGGAGAAGAGGACCAGGTGGGCTTCTGGCTCTGGGACCCCGGGGCCCCAGGCTGCTTCTCCTCGGCACTCCCTGTCCCCGGGACCGAGTTGGGCTTCTGCTCCCCTGCAGAGCTGGGATGGCTGCTCATCCAGCACGGTGGTCCCACTTAACGTCCTCCCCCACTTGGGCCGGCAGGGAGCTTCCGAGAGGGCCCGCATTTGCTCGATTTATTTCGGGCGTTCTGCTTGCACGGAGGGGCTTGAGTAAAAACGACTTATTTAAGCCGAGTTTTAGAAAGGAATCCCTGGAAGGTTATTGCTACGGTGAAAGGAAAAGTGACCCAACAAAACCATTTTGTTCTTCCGAGGGAAGGAAGCAAAGGCCTCCTCTGTCCATTGTCTGTGCTGGGGGAAGGTTTTCCCCCTGCCTCTCTCTCTGTCTGCCAGACTCCCCCCTGATTCTGGTCAGCGGAGAGAAGGGAGGCGCTGGAGGTTTCTTCCTCTACCCAAGAGCCTGCGGGCATCTTCTCTTCCTAGGATTACGATCTGAGCCAGTTGCATCGAGGCCTGGATGCCCGCCCTGAAGTCACCCGGAATGACGTTGTTCCAACCCTCATGCCGGCCCCGCAGTACCGTCCACGCCCGGCCAACCCTGACGACATAGGCAATTTCATCGACGAGGTGAGTGGCACCCGGAGTCCACTTGGTGGGGAGATACCCAGTCCCCAGGTGCCCCAGGTGAGCAAGCATTTGGTGAGAAGCAAAACGTGGGCAGGGAAGCTAAATCCTAGCGGCTGAACAGCTGCGGAGGCAGCCTGACTAGAGAGAGTCTGCTCTCTTGAGCTTCTCCAAAGATTTGGCGAGCCCCTTGTCATTGTTTCTCAACCTGAGCAGCTGTAAGAGGTGCGGCTTCCTTCGGCTGGGGAATTCTGGGAGTTCGGGTCCAGACGTCTTAGAAGTTGCTCAGGTTGAGAGAACGGCTGTTCTGGAGAGATGGCTGGGCACTCATCAGCTTCCTCTGCTGCTCAACAAACGGAAGTTCTGTTCCTTCAAGGTGCTATTAGTCACCCATAAAGCCCTTCATGGTAGTGGATCTGCGTACTTGAGAGACCGCCTTCTG